TACATAGCAGGCCCTTACGGGGTTTTGTTCCATTTCAGTATCTCAATAACACTTTATCTAGCCATAGAAGAGAGAAGGAAATAGGGATGAGAAACTAGTAGCATTATGGATGGAAGGAAATGGCAGGGGCATGAATCTGCTGATTCCTGCTGCTGCTGTTTTCAACAGTTATGAGTGGCTTTGTGTGGATCCATCATTGATCACCGCAGCCACTAATAGTTGCAGCCACCAACAATCTGTCATTGAAGTGTATAAGTAGCTGTTCACACCGTTGCAAAACTCTAATGCAAATGTAGCCTAAGGGGATGAGGAGTTTGAGGGTTTACAAAGTAAAAGATACTGTAATATATATTTAAAAGGAATTTTTTTTCCATCAATAAAAACAAAGAAGAGTATTTGTGCTTTTTTTAGACAGATGACTTCTGAAATCTGGTTTATGTAATGTATATAATTTGACAAAAAAAACAATTTTAATCTTTAATTCAATGGCAAGTTAACCATATTATAGTAACAAAGCCTTCTAATAAGAGAGGGAATGTTGGGGTTATGGATAATCAAGAATACAAAATAATGTGTACCAATATAATCAAAAATATTGATTGGTACAAAATTAAATAATCTAACTGCATTTCCCACCAAAACAAATCATACTACCCATGCATACAAATGAATGACAAATTACAATTGTTCACCTAGAAGACCTGTTATCTCTGGTGTGGGCAATACAACAGAAAAAGTTAGTAAATTAGTGTAAGTAAATCTAAGGCTTCATGTACACGTGCCTACCCTGACCGCCAGCCACGGCAAAATGCAAATTACGGCAAAACCACAGCAACCACGGTACTGCGTTCTTGCCGCGTTTTGCATTTTCCCATGGTTGGCGGTCAAAACTTTCCTATTTTGAACTCGATTCTTCTGCGTTCAGGAGAGGGAGGTTTAACCTCACCTAAAGGCGGCAGCTTCTATACTCTGCTAAAAGCCTATGTGTACATGGACACAGGCTTTTATGGAGTTGAGTTTAGGAGCTTTGGCAAAAAAATGCCAAAAGCTCCTAAACTCAAGCCTAGGAGCTGCTCGTGTACATGAAGCCTAAGACCACATATTACTAGCTTTCAGCCATTGAAAAAAGACACGAGGTTGTTTTTCTAAAAGCAAATAGACTGTGCTCTTTGCAAGAGCAGTTGCACTAATTTTCCCCAGAATTTAGTGAATGTGGTGAAGTTTTGCTGATGATTATCATCTTCCAATCATGTGCAAGCAAAAATGCTGTTTTTCCCTTGCACCTGATTGTGTATTTTTTACAACCGAAGCTTCACCACATTCATTAACCTATGGGGAAAGTAAGTGTAGCTGCACTTGCAAAGTGCACAGTCTATTTGTCTTTAGTAAATCAACCCCTATATATTCAATATCTAAGCCTGAAAGGATACATTCAAATTTTGAAAAACAAAAAAATAATAAATTACCATTTTTTGGAGGTAAAAAAAATGTGCATTTATTATTTTTTTCTAAGGGATCTGCAGAGCATTGTACCCATGATCAGTGGGTACAAGAGGATCCCTGCCCACTATCACAGGGAGAAGGGGGGGAGAGAGGCTACAGATGCTGGAATATGTTACATGTTGCACACTAACATGGGTGGAACATGTAACATGTTCCAAAGGTAAACTTATCCTTTAAGCAAAACTGTTCGGATGAGGATGAGGTGATTTGGTACAAAAGTGGCTAATCGAATGTGGATATAGTGAAAAAAAGGTTTGAAAAAGCTTACAATAATGAGAAACAAAAACCATGACATTGCCCACTGTATAATGCAATGTGAAAAAACACTTAAAAAAATAAATAGAGTAAAAGTAAAAATCCTCTACACTCATCATTATAAATAGATTCATAACATTATCAGTAGTATTGAGTATCTATTGCGTACTGATGTAAAAGTTATATTCAACTCTTTTTTATTGTTTTGATTAAACATGGAAAACACCGAACCAGGACATCCTCAGGTTCACAATAAAGTATGCAGATACATATATACAAGTAAAAAAGGTGTACAGGCATGGCAGTAATTATTCCTATATAAACCCCAGAGGAAAGGGGGGGAGGGGTATGGTGTAGGGAGGAGGGGGGAGAGGAGGATGAGTAGGGGGGGGGGGGGGAGGTAGGGGAGGAAACAGCAGTTACAACTCATAGTGTTAACGAGTAGAGAAAACCAATCAAATTAGTAACTTATAACACAGTACTGGATATTGTTCTTTAAAAATTTAAATGCCATTAAACTTTAATTAAATATTTTGGATGCAGTGCCCATAAGTGCCATGCTCTGTAGAATTTGTGATATGAGGAATGGGACAGGGAAAATCTCCTTTCCATATCGCACTGAAAGTTCAGAGTGGTCACCACTTTAGTTAGAGTGGGGGAGTCTATATTTTTCCATAGGCCAGTAATATTATTCTTGGCTGCATGAAGAAGGTGGATTATTATGGTGTGGAGGTCTGGGGAGAATTTGTCCTGATGTAAAAGTTAATGAGTTTATTAGGGATACTGCTGAGATAATGTTTAGGAGAATTACTTCCATTAGGGAAAAATTGGAAAAAAGCCATTACTTGGGGGATCAGCAAGAAGATCCCTGTAAACAGAAAGGGACTTTTAAATGTGGGTCTAGTAGTTTTGTGCAATTATTTAATGACCACCAGTGGATTATTTTACCTAATGCCAGCGTATTCCCTATGCAGTTTGTGGATTGCAGAACACGTGATTGTGGTACTTTCTATACTGAGAAGACTAAATGTTCCTTTTGGTGGAGAATGTAGATAGCCCCTATGTGATAGCATTTGTGACAGGTTCTTTACGGAGACATCAGGGATCTATTAAACCCCTAATGTCTCCTCTGCCTTCCACTGAAACTAATGGAGCACAAATTGTGTTCCTTTATTATCTTCCCCAGCCACAGCAGCCAGGAAAGTGAAAGCCAGACCTGGAGGTAATACACGTTGCTTCTGTGTTCATTCACTATTGGCTTGTCTCCCTCTGTTCAACCTAGACATGAACAGAACAGATCGGATCGATTCGGTCAGTACCTAATTTTTTTTTGTTGTATTTGTAACAGAATTCTGGTAATTTAGTTTTGTTTTGTTTCATTTTATTTATTTGTTTTCAACCGGATTTTAATTTGTTTAATGGTTTTGAAGTATTCAAATCAAGTTTGAATTGAAAATATCAAATCCATCTGAATTCTTTGTGAAGAATGTTGGTTCTATTCTATGCAAAATGTGAATTTTGGAAGACAGCTATATTCATTATATTTAATAATATTATATTCTTTTTGAAATTTGAATTTCAAAATTTCAGTTTTGGAATACAGCTATATTCTTTCTATTATTTTCTATTGTATTTTATTATATTCCTATTCTTTTATATTCACTTCTATTCTTTTCTATTTTATTCTATTCTTTTTGAAATTCGAATTTTGGAAGATGGCTATATTCTATTCTATTCTATTCTTTTTGAAGTTTGAATTTCAAATGAATTCAAAGTATTCTAATCTAATTCAATTAGAAAATATTGAATCAAAGTGAATTCATTGTGAAGAATTGTTGGTTCTATTCTATTTGAAATTCCAATTTCAGAAGACGGCTATATTCTTTCTATTTTGTTCTATTTTTTCTATTGTATTATTTTATTTTATATTCTATTCTTTTATTTTTTCTATTATATTATTTTCTATTACTTTTCACTCAATTTTTTATTCTATTTTATTCTATTCTAAGTTCGAATTTTAGAAGACGACTATATTTGTTTTTTTTATTCAAATTTCGGAAGATGGCTGTAATACACAGTCTTTGAAGGAAATCAGCAATAGTCAGTAGTATGTTTCCACTTCAAATTAGTTTTTTCAAATTTGATTTAAGTTTTTAATTTGTTTTGAATTAGATTTGAATTTGATTCAAATTCAGATAATTTGTTATTTCGGATGAAATTTGGTTTTGTTATTGTGGAGTCATTTAATTTGTTACTATTGTAATTCGGATACATCCAAATCTCTGAGTAATGAAAATTTCATCCAAATTTTGATTCAGAACTAAATTAACTGCACACATCTAGTTCCATCCACTGACAGTGGAGTTCAGTATGCATGGCAAGGAGGGTGGTACCTTTTCCAGGTTGTGGAATTGATTGGATGGCTTCCACTAGAAAGAACATCACCTGCTCTACAAATCTGTGTTGAAAATTCCCATCTACCAGCTGGTGTGTTACCATTTAACTCTAGGTAATGTTTGTTTGGATGAAACTGCATCAAAGATGCTGCAAGCAATTTTTTTTTTACCATATACTGTTTTTTTTTTTTTTTGTGAAAAACTACTCTTTCACCTCTTTCCTGACTGCTCCAAATATTCACACATATCTGATTGTGTGAATACCTGCTCCTCCTGCAACTTGCTGTGGCTTTTCTTGCAGACCCCTAGGTTGCCATTCAATGCATTTGACCTCTAATACTTGTAAAAGATAATGAGCAAGAAGTAATGCAGTGGTTTTTCAAGAAATGGGCCATCAGAAAGGGTAATCAGGTATCAGGTATGTTCTACATACAAGTGACCCTGTGCTGACATGGTCACTTTAAGGAAGTATCAAAAAGAACTGCCATATAAAGCCTGCAATCTGCTCATTTCTTTAGTTTCAGTTACCTGCCGATGGAGCATGTCAATGTTCCTATATATTAATTATTACACTAGGTCACAGAAGAATCCACCAAGACCAAATCTTACTCCGACATGTTTCACCCAGGGGCAGACTGACCATTTGGAAACTCAGGCCCTCACATATAGAATGAACAAACAAGTCAGCCACACTCCAATGATACCAGCCTTCACAAGGCTTATTATTTCACTAGATCACATTAGAATCCACCCAGACCAAATCTTACTCCGACATGTTTCACCCAGGGGTGGACTGATCATTTGGACTCTGGGTCAGTAGGGGGCCCCATGAGATGCCCCTGGTACCTTTTTCATAGACTTTTTTGAGTTTGGGCAAGGACACAGGGGCCCCATGATCCCCTATTGCCCGGGGCCCTATGAGTTGTCAGTCCGCCCCTGGTTTCACCCAAAAGGGGGTTAATTACAGAAATCATAAGTCCAGCTTGGTCTGGGCAGACTCTTCTGAGATCTTGTCCTAGAATAATAAAAGCTTTGTGAAGGCTGATGTCATTGGGATATGGCTAACCTATTTTTTTCTCTCATTTAGGAGTGTATCCCATTGCCTTTCTCTGTCACTTTTGTTGGACAGATTGGTCTGCATATTATTGTGAGGAAAAATATAAATGTGTGTTTCATGTATTGTGTATATACATGTAGCAACATCCTAGATAGGTTCTAGGATAAGCAGATTACATTTAGGTTCATTGTAGTCAATGGAGCTAGTTTGTCCTGTTAGGCAAACTTAGTTTTGGGCTCACCATATCCAGTGGAGCTGGACTTTGTCTGGGTAGTAGAATTTGGATAGTGTTAGGATAGGTAATTTTAGCTTTGGGCCCACTATAATCAATTGATTGTTTTGGTCTGGTCTGTGTTCCAGAGGTTGCGTGATTGTTTGCTCCCCCCCTTTAACCTGGAGGAGCTCTGGGTAATAGAGGCAGGAAGACTCTAATCAGCAGCTTAATATTTATGTAACCCTAAGCAATCCCTGGAAGTCTTGGCCCAGAGGATTCTGGAAGAATGCATAAATACCTGGAACCTAGAGCAACAGGGTATTTTCCAGAGAGGAAGATCACAGTTTAGGGGAGGGCTACTCACCCTCCCTGGACACTTCTGCCATGTGCATGCCATGTGGAAGCCCCAGTTGGGCAGTTGGAGACTCTGGAGCTACTAAAAGTTTCTGAAGCTGACTGAGGGGCCGTTGTCTGAGGATCTAGTCTGGTACTACTGGGAACAAGTGTCTTCAGGACTCCAGGAAGGCTGTTCTAGATTTGTAAGATGTAAGTAGCAAATTATACTTTCATCTGTGGCTTACTTCAGCAGATCAGAGCTACGTAAACTTGGCTTCCTTGTTCATTCTTAATTCTTGTACACTTCTGGTCCTTGCACTCTGCTCTGAAGCAATTTAGAACATTGCCATGTACTTTTAAGGGTCTGATAACTTCAATCAAAATGCTGGAACAATTAGCACAGTGGCAGAGCCAGGTTTCTGCAGCATCTGATCTCCTGAGGAACAAAGGTAGGTAATTTATACTAACCTATCACAAATATGAGATATTCCTTCCTGGAATTTCTCTCTAAGTTAATGATAGCAGACATTTCACATACAGTATCTGCTCTATATTAAACAGAGGAGTAGGTTATACAGTATTATGTGTGTATGGAATCAGCTGGGACACATGCAAGCACAAGCAGCCAGGACATACATCAGGCGAGTATAGAAAAGAAAGGAATCAATGGAATCCATAAATAGTTTTGTAGACATTCTTTAGAATTTACACACATCTGATTCATAATGTCAGTGTTTTGTGATAGATTCATGCACCTTTTGGGAACATGTACATATATTTGCCGTAGGAGGTGGCTGGCACTGATATCGGAGTGTTCATACTACCAGGCACTCTGTCCTTAGTGCAGCTAACTGACTCTAAGCATGACAAAATCACAGGCTCAGCATTACTAATCTCCCTCCCCAGCCGCTGCACCCATCACATAGGCACAACAGTTGAGAATTTTTTTTGTGGGGTGGACAGAGCCAAAATGGGAACTCTAAGGCTAGTTTCCTATAGGTTCACTTTCCTTGTGATAGAAAGTGGAAAATAGTGAGAGGATTCCATAGCCACTATTGGAGTAGTGGTTATGAAATTTGCCCACTGCCATCCATTATCAACCTCAAAGCAGGCAGACCTGATGGGTAGTTATTCTTCCAGAATCTCATATCAGACTCCTTTCACTGTCAGAGTGCTCCTATAGCATTGGTGGCTAACTAGTTCCATAGCCATCATTGGACCTATTAGTGGCTATGGAATTCACACATTGCCGTCTGTTGTTAATCATATGATCGGGAACTCGTCTCTAAGAATTCCCCATTAGGCTCCTTCTACTGTCAGAGTACAGCTACATTGCTGGTATGTAGCAGACAGCATCACGACTAACGACTCATTCAACTACCTGCTGGGAGATTCCTCTCATTGTCCAAATATGTCCATTGCCATAGTCAGGTGCTGACATTAGCCAGCATGTATGTCCCTTTGTTTACATTCATCTATCTTCTGGGGAATCTGCCTGCTGGCAGCTGAATGGGGCTGGAGATAAGTCACCAGTTGCTAGGATTCCAGAGGCTTCTGGATTTCTAGAAATCCACATGTCCTATGGGAACAATTATAATCGTGACCACTTCCCAGCTCATACTCTGAGCATTGGAGTCTCTCATTACACCAGATCAGAGCTGATCCTAATTTCCATAGGATTCTTAATCTGCCACTTTATGGTAATTCACTTTGAATCTGTCGCTGTCATGGTTCTTAAAGCGTAGTTTCACCTGAAAAAAAAGTCAGCAGCTACAAAAACTGTAGCTTCTGACTTTTAAAATACAGACTCTTACCTGTACCTCAGTCCAGCAGTGTCCTCACCATGGGCAGGTTTCACCAACCATCTTCTCTCCCTGGCATCTTCATGTGGGCACCCGGCTGTGACAGCTTGCAGCTTCAAAGCCGGGTGCCCACTGCGCATGCGTGAGACGCGCTGCGCTTTGTGAATGGCCCCGTCGCCTTCTGAGACCAGTCACGTGTCACAGAAGACTACGGGGAGGGAGGGGGGGAGGACAACTTCTGATTCCAATTGCCTAGGCGATCGCAGCGGAAGAGGGAGTGGGTACCTGTAAAAAATTTGCGCACCCCCTCCCCCCTGCTCCCCAAAGGTGACAATCCTTAATGGGGAGCGAGGGACAAAGGCTTAAAGAGGAACTTCTCCTATTGGGTGGAGCTTCGCTTTCAAGTGGTGGTAACAAGAATTACCTGAATCTATTGCAGATGCCAGAAACCTTAATTAAACTATCACAAGGCTTTCCTGAATTAGGCACAGGTTGTTTTAAAGGGACCCTACAGCCAGAAAAGTGTGGTAAGTGCTTTAATAAATTCTGTTCATTAAGGTTTTTTTTTCTGAGAGATTAAGTGGTAAATAGGGTTCAAAGCAAGCAAGGCACTGTTGTGGGAAGAGTAATACTACTGAGCATCCACTTCATTTTTCTGAGTTGCCCCATACCCCTGGTAATCATTTAAATGATTCTACATCAACATGGTATTGCTTAGGACTGCATACATTTATACAATCCACACAGTCCCAGTTAAAAATAACATTGCTACAGAACTGCAAATAATTACAAAAACATAGCATACGTGTATCCTAAAATAAACTAATGAAAATAATTCAAGTTTCAAGTATGAAGTGTGTTGTCTCCTTATATTTCACCTACAAAATATTTTGAGCTGACAGTTATTTGTGTGTGCATACAGTATATACATGTAGCTTCCGTTTAACACCACGTGCATTTTGTAAAAAAGATATTCACAGCACATAACACACAAAAGATTCTATTACATTCCAAACTAAGCTCTAAGAATGCTAAAATTATATTAAAAACTGTAATATAAAAGGAAAACTATACTGCACCTGTAGAAGCAGCAAGGAGCAAGGTTATCTTGAACTGTTTAATGTTTCCTACCACGTCTTACAACAATGTTCAAGAGAGTTCAATTCATTCCACCAGCTGCACTAGACTTCCCTGTGATTGGCTGAATAGAGCCATACCCCTCATTGTTTGCATGAAGAATACATGTGAGATTATATTTGTTAGTAAGCACGAGATGTAACCCTTTGTTGACAATTGCCTTGACTTGGATAACTATACTGAAAATTAAGCATGTGTAACAAGGGTTAGTGTTCTGCCAACAATTAAAATGAGTAGCTGAGTCCTTAACTGGGACATTGAGAGATGACCTTTAAAGAAGACATTCACATTGAGATTCCTTTTTGTCAGGTGCCTCTAAAGCACATTTTAGAGCAGTGAATGAAAGGACTCTAGAGCTTCACATTCTTGCTTACGTAATATGCAGAGTAGAAATAAGATCAGCAGTTGCAGAATTTATATGAATGTAAAATAAATGAACAAAATATTCTACAAATAATATGTAAAAGTATATATATATATATATATATATATATATATATATATTGCATCCAGAAAGTATTCACAGCACTTAACTTTTGCCATATTTTGTTATGCCCAAAATGGATTGATGGATTTTTCCTCAACATTCTACAAACAATACCCTTATAATGACAACATAAAATAAGTTCATTTTGAAATCTTTGCAATTTATTAAAAATAAAAAACGAAAAAAAAACACATGAAGATAAGTATTCCCAGCCTTTGCTCAATACTTTGTTGAAGCATCTTTAGCACCAATTACAGCCTCAAGTCGTTTTGAGTATGATGCTACAAGCTTGGCACACCTATTTTTGGACATATTCTCCCATTCTTCTTTGCAGTACCTCTCAAGTTCCATCAGGTTGGATGGGGAGCGTCGGTGCACAGCCATTTTCAGATCTCTGCAGAGATGTTCATTCGGGTTCAAGTCTGGGCTCTGACTGGGCCACTCCAGGACATTCACAGAGTTGGCCTGTAGCCACTCCTTTATTATGTGGGCTGTGTGCTTAGGGTCATTGTCCTGCTGAAAGATGAACAGTCACCCCAGTCTAAGGTCCAGGGCACTCTGGAACAGGTTCTCATCAAGGATGTCTCTGTACATTGCTGCATTCATCTTTCCTTCAATCCTGACTAGTTTCTCAGTTCCTGCCACTGAAAAATATCCCCAAAGCATGATGCTGCCACCACCATGTTTCACTATAGGAATTGTATTGGCCAGGTGGTGAGTGGTGCCTGGTTTTCTTCAGACATGACGCTTGGCATTCAGGCCAAAGAGTTCAATCTTTGTTTCATCAGACCAGAGAGTTTTGTTTCTCATGGTCTGAGAGTCCTTCAGGTGCCTTTTGGCAAACTCCAGGCTGGATGCCATTTGCTTTTTACTGAGGAATGGCTTCCGTCTGGCCACTCTACCATACGGGCCTGATTGGTGGAGTGCTGCAGAGATGGTTGTTCTTCTGGGAGGTTCTCCTCTCTTCACAAA